ATGGACAAAATTGTGTCTCGTCAATTTCAAAGGTAAGAAACTGTGCTTGTTATGGTATTTATACACTTTGTATTATCGTTTGTGTCTCGGGTTTGGTGATCGTGAAAAACTATTGCTAACCTGGCGAGAGTTTCGCCAGAAAAACTGCCTTTTTATTATGGTTGTAGGAACTGATTATGTATTGTGTAAATTGAAAGTTTACCTCGTGATTTAAGAGGTTTGCAGTGCTCTCACCGGGATTCAAACGTCGTGGTGGTGTCGGCGCAATGCTGCTCTAAGACGCTTGCCAGACTCTGCCTCGTTCAAAATCATTATCGCCATGCTTGATTTCCGCAACATTTACATTTGTTTATGATTTCCACAGCTATTGTTCTATGAGATGCGCCCTCACTGTTCATAGACAGCCATAAACAAGTTTAGTTGGGTCGGCATGTACTCATTGAAAGTGTTGGTTTATTTACGTAATCCACTGAACACGCAATCGGCGAAGTTAAAAATATGTCGCTACTCAGGAGAGCTTGCCCACAACGCTAAATGTCCCAATATACAGCCAAAACAAAGTCAGCTTGGAAATTCAGTTGTGAGATTTGACAAAATAAACGGTGCCAGCGATATATTTCGCGAATGAAAGAACAAAATAAACGCAATCAAAGGCGCCGACCACGCGCGTTGTGATGAGAAATCTCGCCTGCATCTTCAAGTTTCACGCACGCAAACGCACACACATGCTATTTCCGTATATTGAATACGTTGGCAACGGAAGGACAAGTTTAAATCATCTTTGTATTAACACAACTTTAAAGCAACAGTCTCACACTGAATATATATTTATCAATTATTAAACTAAACATTCAATGAAGCAGACTGCGACGGTTAAGACGAAAAGCATGTGACAGTACGATTATGCTCGTCTGCTACACGCCCGGGAACTACACGTTCAAGTATCCAACTTCCAAATACAAAACATGATTAGTATCAGCAATAATTTCTAGTATTGCCTGGATAATTGCGTATTATTAGCTGACATCAGTCATATCCTTGTACAGGATTTTTTTTAACAATGTCTCAAATTTCAGAAAGAATATTCAAATAAGTTGGGATGAATATGAATTGAATATCCATCTTTTGAAAAATCAGCTAAACAGTTTACCACCACGAATCAACAAAGATGACCAGATGTCATATGAGCTGGCTGGTTCGAATTTATCCACTTTTACAGTGATGAATATTGCGTTCGAGATGAGTTACTAGTAATTACAAGCCTGATTTACATTTTTCTTGTGGTGTTTTTTGTCAATGTATTAAATATAAGTGCGTTGGGAAATAGCATTATCATATGGCGTGAGTGAAAGACGCTGGTAAGACTGTGTCACAACACGTTCAATTTATTTTCAATACGCGTGGTCGGCGCCTCTGATTGCATTTATTTTGTATTTTTATTTTCGAAATGTATCACTGCCTGCGTTTTTTTGTTATGTCTCGCAACTGAACGTCCAAGCTGACCTTGTTTTGGCTGTAAACGTACCGGTACGTTTATTTTTTCCACAGACAAATTCCACCCAGTACATTTTTATTTGGGACGGTACGTTTATTTATTTTTCTAAATCCGATTAAAAAAAATCATGTCTTTTTCCCCATGAGAAACAAAGCCAAAAGATCGCACTAAAACATCGGTAAATCTAGTCTTCCGTGTTGCTTTCACCATGAGGTCGCTGAACTGTCATATTTAAATGCTTTATGGTAATTTGAGCACATGGGCACCATCCAGCATTTTGATTGGTTGATTAGCGACTTGACCTACTGTAGAATACTTTATTTTCGCTTGGAATTTATTTTTGCTATTTTCGCTGAAGGAATGATTCCGTGAAAATATAATCCAGCGAATATACTTTCTTTCCTATATTTCACATTAACCTCATCAAAAATCAGTGAAAATAAATTCCATACAAAACGCCCAAAAAGCCTTTTCAGCGAAAATTTATTCCAGCGAAAATAAAGTATTCCACAGTATCTGGCAGATATCGTCT